TCATACACTGGGGCTGTTAGGCACACCACCTCCACGCTCTGCCAGCAGAAAGGCCAAGGAGCAGCTACACCCCAGAGCAACAAGCAGTTTACCACCATAAAAACAAACAAACAACAAAAAAAAAAAACAGAGATCCTGGGTAAAAGGCTGATTTTAGATCTGAAGTGGGAAATACACAAAATAAGCCTGGAGCATATTTTAGTAGGAAAGAGTATGGGAGTTCTCACCAAAACACAGACACACACACACACACACACACAATTATGGGGGTCATAGGAACCAGCTGAAAGAATCGTCAGTAGCCAAAATAGAAACATTTGGGCAACAAAAAATAAATTAGTACTGAATTATAACCCAAGGTATGAAATAAATATCCTCAGGTACATACTGATATAATGATTAACTCTATTTATCATTAAGACTAAAAAAATAATTGAGTGTATAATGAATCGAAGAGCACTCTGCTGTCATGTATAACTGATTAGAACCAAAAAAAGAATCGAATAAATGGTTTAAATGAAATAAGTGGGGGAAGAATAAACAAACCTTCTATGCAGACGAATTCCAAATAGTTTATGCAACTATTTCACCCTCGAGGAGGAGAAGCTGAGTCCCTGGTCCTTGAGCATGGGCTATCCGTAGCCAACTCCTCCCCGAGAGCACACCAAGGAGGTACAAAATAAGTGGATTTATGGCAGAGAAACCTCAAAACCACCATGTCAGTGAAGTGCTCCAGGCAACCCTAATGGGCAAAATCCAGCTGATCCTACGCAGCCCTCACCTGTGACAATGGCATTTGGCCTCTGTGCTGTTCGCCTTGGAACCCTGAAGTCGCAACGTAAGCATAAGGAAAACGGACACATCCCAAAGGGACGTTGCACAAAGTACCCAGCAAGAGCACTTCTCAAAACTGTGGAAGTCATCAAAAACAAGGAAGGTCTAAGAAATGGTCACCGTCAAAAAGAGGCCAAAGCTCACCTGATAAATACACACCAGGGAGTATCCAGGATGGGATTCTGGAGCAGGAAAAGGACGTTAGGTGAAAACAAAGGGAAGCCTAGCAAGCCATGGACTTAGCTTATAATAATGCACTGATATTGTTCCATTTCCCCCAACAGATGTGCCATTATAAACTCAATATTAGTTGGAGGGAAACAGAGTGTAGTATGTGTGGATTTCCCTGCTACATTCCCAGTGTTCCTGTATATCAGAAGTATCTAAAATAAGTTTATTCAATAATAGTGACAGAAAAATTTTATAAGGTGTAGTGACACCATGTAGCAATGAAGAAATATGAACAGCACTTTGGGGGCAGGAGACAGAATGAATTCCAAAGTGAGTTTTTGAAGATTTCAGCTCCCCAAAACTAAGCACTCTTGTATTTGGGTACCATGTCTAAATTTATCCATCTGTATGAAGTATGTATTTTGAGCATTGCAGCAAACATTATATTTTACAATTATCAATGATCATATCAACTTCAGTCTTTATAAATCTTTTTATTTTTAGAAAAAGAAGCTTCATTCTATCAAAAGTAAAGAAATAACAATCATCTGGGCATGTGGTATAGGCCTGTAATCCCAACAACTCGGGAGGCTGAGGCAAGAGGATCATACGTTAGAGGCTAGCCTCAACATCTTAGTAAGGCCCTAAGCAACTTAACAAGAACCTATCTCAAAATAAAAAATGAAAAAGGACTAGGGATGTGATTCAGTGGTTAAGCACTTCCAGGTTAAATCCCCAGTATCAAAAAAAAAAAAAAAAGAATGAAAGAGAGGAAGAAGAAGAAGGAGGAGGAGGAGAGGAGAAAGAAAGAAAAGAAATAAAAACAATCATGTTTGGTGGAATATGGAAGCATTCTGCATTTAGAGAAGCATGACCTCCTCTTTATTCAGCCTTTAGTCTAGAAAAATCAGTAACCATTCAGGCATCCCCTTGCAACTAAAAAACATTTAATGATCCAGATATACCAAGCATACTCCCTGGAAGTTCCCTGAACATTTATGGCACATGTGATTTTTTTCAGGGTCGAGGTTTCCTACATTCAAAGTGCTTTTTCTAAGTTCAAAATGCATTTTTTCAAGGTCCACCTCAGACATCTTCTCCCCGCTCCCCATTCAGAAAGCCTTACTCATTTTTCTGAGCAGCAGTAGTTACATGGCCCCCTACTATCTGGTGCCATCTATCTACAGGTGTCTCCCATTTGGATATCAGCTTTTTTCTTTCTTTCTTTCTTTTTCTTTCTTTTTTAATTGTACCAGGGATTGAACCAGTGGCACTTAACCATGAAACCACATCCCTAGTCCTTTTTATTTTTCATTTTGAGACAGGGTCTTCCTGAGTGGCTGAGGCTGGCTTTGAATTTGTGATTCTCCTTCCTCAGCCTTCTGAGTTGCTGGGATTACCTGACAGGCATTCATTCACACCATGCCTGGCAAATAAATCTTTCTTCCTTTTTTTTTTTTTTTTAATTTGGATCGAAACCAGAGCCTTGAGCATGCTAGGCAAATGTTTTACCACTGAGTTGTTTCTCCATCCCTGGTTATCAGCTTCTTAATAGCAAGGTGGACATCTTGGCTCCAATTGCTCTCAGTACGGAATCTGACGTTCATTCATTCATCCAACATCCATTTATGACATGCCCACCATTTGGTTCCATGGAATGAACTGCAGGGGGGAAATTACAGACAAAGGTTAACAACTGAATCTTAATATTGTGGAAAATTCTTTCAAGCTAGGAAAGCTCTGAGAAAAAATGAGAAGGATATTGATATAGACCAGATGTACTGAAAGCATTAACAGAGGACTTATACCACAAGACTGATTTATTTTAAAAGCCAGTGTATATGTTCCTAAGTGAGGGTTTCTCTCTTCTACCACTTTGACCATTTTCTGTGATCTGAAACCCCTACTGCTTGTGTATAAAAGGGTGAGTGAAATAAATCAATCAATGTTTATTTTCAAATAAAACACAAATGAGCAGTAAGAATTTAGGGTAAGGGAAAAGACACTGTTTTGTGGCAAATGCCTGAGGTACAACTTATAACCTTCATGGTTAGTACATGGATTCTTAAAAGAGAATTTGCTTCCTTTTGAAACTTTCTATTGAAGCAAAATACATTGCTATCTCAGTGTAGACATCATACTTAGACTTATGTCAAATACCATTTTTGTGTGTGCTCTTGCAAAATATTTGTTTTCCTGTTTCTTTAGCACAGATTAATTTAAATTCAATTTTTCAAATCATTAGTGTCAATTTTTTAAAAACTATCATTGTACTAGTCAGCTTTTCACCCCATAACAAAATGCCTGAGATAACCAACTTTAATATGTTGTCTTAGGGATTAACTGATTCTGTGACCCTTACTGAGATCCCATCAATGCTGAAGAAACTCTCGTCCATGTCCACTTTAAAGGGTAGAGCATAATGAATGCATTAATTTTCAAAACATTCATTTAAAACTCAGATTAGTTCTGAAACAATTTAGATTCCCCATGAGCTATCCACAGGACTACACAATCTACAAGACCCCAGTGTGGTAGACCCTAAAGCACCCCAACGTGCCATCAGCTCACTGAGTTCAAATCCTGGCCCCACCACAGGATCAGCTCTGAGCAACTTCTTCTTGGTCCCTGGGCATTCCTCATCATTCATCCATCTAGACACCACTTAGTTTCGTTCTTACTCATCCTCAGAGTGTCAAGATTATAATGTCAAGTTTACAGTGAGCAAGACAGGCTCGGTGGCTGACTTTCTAGTGGGTGAATTTACAATAGAAATAACAACAGCCATCACGTATGGTTGTAAATATCAAATGGAAGCAAGCATGTGAGGCATGTGGGAGTCACTCAGTGATGGCTGTGGTTATCCAGTCCTCAACACAGTGCCACACACATGGTCTCAGCCTGAATGTACTCCATCCATTCTTTATTCATTATTGACAGTCTTTACATATGGCTCCTCACCTCCACTGTTCTACACAAACATCCACCATTTCTTATCCCTCAAGGATGAGCTCATTAGGCCTCCTTGCTGAAGAGCTTCAAGATGAGATGATTTTTAAACCAGACCAGGCTCGTTCATGATGGCCACATCTCTGGCAAGAGTTATACTGGAAACTCTCTGTGGATTCTGCGAAGACACAGCTCACAGCCTCCCGCCCACATCTGTGCAGGCGGTGGGAATGGGATCTCCCTCAGTGGAATGGGCTGGCTGAGAAATAAAAGCTAGGAGAAATAAAACAGTGAAAAAACCACAAAACACAGAAAGTAGTTTCAAAAGCGGGGGCAGAACGGGCAAGCTGATCAGACGGATGGAGCTTCTAGACAAAATGGGGCCCACGCCTGCTTTATTTATATTGGGAAACATCAAATAGATTCTATAGAATGTTCTTCTCCAAAAAAGGTTAAAGGTGGCTCTTCAGTTCTTAACGGGTTACACCCATCTCCAGAGCTAATATGAGGAGCCTTCCTAGCAGAGCAGAGGGAAAGGTTACATGCCTTGGGCAATCTATTGCCCATGGAAAGTTCCCAATGCCAGGCCTGTCTCTCCCTGGATACCATGCTGAGAGAAGAGCCTAGTGTATTTCACGGATGGCTTCCCACAATGGCCCATACCCACTGCCTAGGAAATGCCTGAGCTTCCTGCAGCCGCCATATTCTTCCCCGGTTATCACTTGGAGGTATCCAGTCAGATGATCATGATGTGGTATCTCCCTCTTTGTTGGTGAGAGGGTTTTCTTCCTTGGAAGTTTCTCAGAAATTCTTCACATATTGCTAATTAAATTAAGAGAAAGATGAGTAGAATAACCCTGTTTAAGACACCTTCCTTTCAGTCTGCCTTCCATGAAATAGGCCCACTCCTAATGCACGGTTGTTTGGAGTGATTGATTATCTGTCTGAAAACTGAAGAGTAGCTTCTAAATGTGTTTACGTGTTGAAGCATGAAAAGCGACCCTGGGCAGAAAGGAGTGTGTGATGCTACGTGTGTTTGTTTCTAGACACTGTGAGAAGTTGTGTGGCGAAGCTGTTCTTCACCTGTTCCCTCAAGGGTCATTACTGCCTGTACAGCAAGTCCAGCTTCATCCTCATCAGCCAAGAGCCTCAGCGGTGGATCCAGATCATGCTTCTGTTTCAGCAGGTGTGTGCAATTCATGTTCATTGGGCTCTTCAACAAGCAGGTTGGATATGAGCTCCTGTCATCCCATTGAATTATTTATTCTTTGTCCAGAGTTGATATGTAAATAACAGCAACACATCATCATTTCTTTTTCTCTATTTTAAGATAGTTTCCTTGTAAAGGAACCTGGATTATAAATCAGAAGGCCAAAGCTACTATTAAAACAGGGATCGAACCTGGGGTCATTTAACCACTGAGCAACATCCCCAGCCAGCCCTTTTTATTTTTTATTTTGAGATGGGGTATCCCTGAGTTGCTTAGGACCTTGATAAGTTGCTGAGGCTGGCTTTGAACTTGCAATCCTCCTGTCTCATCCTCTGGAGTTGCTGGGATTATAGGTGTTGCCCTTGCACCCGATCAAAGCTATTCTTATCTTGAATATCCTTAGCTTTACAATAGAAGAATGCCACAGAAATATTCTTTTAAACAACAGCAACAATAAAAATATCTTAGTTGGGGAAATAGCTTATCTTTTGTAGAGCTAGCCTTGGTTTCCCCAGTTTTCTAAACTCTAGTTGATTTTAGTGTAAGTGCATTCTTTCTGGCAATATCACACAGGAATGCCACTTTTTTCTATCAAATACATGTATATAGATGAAATTACCTAAAGAGCATCTTTAAACTTAACAGTGAAGAATGTCATGCAAAAATGTCGAAGTACCTTAGATGCACAGAAAATGCAAACGTAGACTATAAAATGTTTGTAATAAAGGAGATCTCAGATATCATCTTTACAGATAAGAAAACTCAAGGGCAAGCTCAGATCATCAGCCATCTTCCCATTTTTGCACATGTGTTGAAAACTAACATGGGGAGATGCAGGTAAGAGAATGCAGGACAGAGTCAGGAAAAAAGAGAGTAGAGACGTTAAATAAGGTTGAAACTTAAGCCAAGTGATAAGATAGATTTTCACTTCAGTTAATAAAATATTTCTATAACTCCTACAAAACTCACCAACCAGAGAGTCATATTTCTTTATAAAATCAAGATTTTTGAGAAAAATGGATTTTCATGCTGAATACATCTTAATTACCATATAACTATGGTTGGATGTGGCTCAGAGATGCCATGTTCCCCTGTGTTAGTTTTAAGAACACTTACCGTCTCCTACAGAACACTCAGATTTTGATGTGAACCACATTGTATGTGAACATAAAATAACATTGATTCTTCTTCCTATTCCTGAAATAATGATCATAGTTTTCTTCTACTTAGATTTTTCAAATAGTTTTCATAAGCGTCTCTGTGTCTGGTTTCATTGGCTTTGTTCTTAACAGTTGTCAGTTTTCTAAGAACAAATCAAGAAAATCTGCTTTTTTTTGCCCCTTCAGCCTTATTTTATTGACCTACTCTGATCTTTTTTTTTTCTCTTTAAGCACAATGACTAAAAAAGCATCTTTTTATGATTTTCCTTTGTGTTCATTTTACAATAATGGCTCCTTTCTTTTTCCACACCTTTGATCTTATGTAATCTTCTGGGAAAATTATGGCTTTAGGGTAAGTGAAAAATAAAACTTTCACTGGGTAATTACCAACCCAACCCCAGTGGTGGGTGCTGAGCCAGACTCTCGCTTTTCTGACAACCTTGCACAGTCATGAATGCTTCATTAGATCAGATTTAGCACGTCTCTAGACCAGACATCCATCGTGCATAACCTTCTATTAGCATAAAGAAATCCACAAATGTTTCCACGTGAGAAGCTGAATAATCAGAAACTTCTTAATTATACCAGCCGCTTACTTGGGGTTTGATATCCTCCTCCTTTTCCTGCTCAATACCAGCTCATTTTCATTGATGATAATGAGATTTTTCTGGGAAAAAAAATGTGTATTAATCCTTATTCACTAAATAGAAGCTTTGCACACACCTTAAAGTTTCATTGTGCAACACCTGGACAATCATTGTCATAGCCAATAAGACCTTACAAGCAATTCTCCTTATCATACCCTTCATCATTCATATGGAATAATATTTCTACTATTTTGTATGAGTAAATGATATTTTATACTCTTTATTGACATTCCACATATTTTTGAAAATCATCCCCTTGAGTTGAAAGGCCTCTTACATTCACAGGTATGGTAAAAGGGTATTAGATACCTTGTTGATTAGTAAATATATAAACAAGTTTAACTCTTCCTTCGAAGAGCTTATTTTCACTGGATTGAATGAAGTACATGTAAATATAATTCTCTTTACTTTAACAACATATTGCCCAACACTTAAAGAAATTATCTTAAAGTTTGAAGAATATCTGCCCATGATTCACTTATCATTAAAAGTGGTTTTGTTTCCCACATGTACCTGCTCAAACTGCTAATGTTTACATAATTATGTTATGGATTCTTGGTTGTTTTTTTATTCTTCATAATCTACTCTGTACAAACCGACTTGATATTTGTATTGTAGTTTTGATTTTAGGCCTTAATTCACAGATCTTTGATAAAATAAATTTGAATATTTGCATTAGCCACTTTTTAAAGCAACATTCTTGGGAAATCATCAAGATAAACATTATGTTACATCATTGAGGCATATTTGTGCAGATCCATATCAAGTGCCTTGAAAATTCTATTAAATAATTTATACGTTCTGTTAAAAAAAACAAAAAGCCTGAAATCTATGTCCGTTCTCCAAGATGGAGTTCCTCATTATCCATAAATCTAAACAGTGGTAAGTTCTGGCCAAGCCTACACAGGCCTTGGAACCCATGGAACGTCTCTGTTGGACCCAGAAGTAATGCTGTCTCTTCCCTTCACACCCACTCAGAGCCTGTTTCCTGAGCCCCTGTCCATACAGAGCCGCTCCGTGCAGTTCCTCAGAGCGCTGTGGGAGAAGACCCAGGCAGGAGCCACCCACAGCTTCGAAACAGCCATGACAGAGTCCACGTTTCCTCAGCAGAAGGTAAATGCTTCTCTCCCTGGGCGTGATGTTTAAAAGCAGGATTCAAGATGGCCTTCAGTTTGCCTTTCTCTTAACCATTTGGTTGTTTCCTCCTTTCCTTTCCCCTCTCTTATTATCAGAAAACATGCATTAAGGAATGACTTTCAGGCCGTGCCACACTGGACTCACACAGTGGCATCCTAGACAGAGCCTCTGTCCTTGTGGGCCCGCAGGATGACATGGCTCGGCCCACTCACACCACACAAAACCTGCACACATCCTGTGGAATTGAGGCACTTTATGGAAGCAGATTGTGGGCTCAAGGACTGAAAAGGAAAGAGCCCAGGAAAGTGGGCTGGAGGGTCTTTGGTGCTTCCATTCCTTCCATCTTTACCACCTCTCATTCCTTTGTCATTGGCCGTCACCACAGAACAAGAAAACGAGGGTAAACCGGACAGGAAGAGAGAGCGGTCAGGGTAGGAAGCTCTTTGGAGGCAGGCACTGTGGCGGGAGATACAAAACCTTCCAGGAGCATGGAAGCAGGGCATGGCCCTCAGACACAGCCAGCTGAGACCTGAGCAGACCGCTGTGCTGGGGAAGTCCCCTGTAGAGAACCAGACCCAGCCCCTCGATAGGGGGAACCTGGCCATGGAGGACACTGGTGTGCTCAGAGTTTCCTATGAGAAAAGTCAGGACCAAGGCACCGCAGGCAATGATGAGAGGAAGCCTTTCTAGAATAAGAAGGCATCTGAAGAAAACTTCATTTCTTCTCGGGAAATGAAGGCGCCAAGGTTGGAAGGCGCCAAATTTGGGAACTTAAACCCAACTTCATACTCTATGGCAGTATTAAGCGTGGAACATTTGAAAACTGTTCAAGTCAGGAAGGTGAAACCCTCGTAGGTGGGATTAATGGCTTTGTAGAAATGCTAGGAGGAACCAGCTAGGCCCTTTTGCCCTTCTGCCTTCTACCGGGTAAGGAAGCAGCATCCAAAGCACCGTATTGGAAACGGACACCAAGCTCTCACCAGATTCCAGTCCAGCCTGTGCCCTAGTACTGGACCTTCCAGCCTCCAGAACTATGAGAAATGAATTTTTTTTCTTTTGGTTAAAAAGACTAAGATAGAAGGTCTGAACTGAAGATGGAAGTTGTAAAAAAAAAAAAAAAATGACTAGAAGAGCTATTAAGAAAGTCAAACCTACAAGACATGGTATCTGATAACGAAAAAGGAAGGCTCCAGGGACACTCCAGGTGCATCATTTGGCCAAAGAGGTGATGGCACTGCCCTGAAAGAAAGACCACAAAGGAAGCTGGTGGAGGTGTGGAAAACACAAGGCCTTCTGGTTGTGTTAGTCAGCCCCCTAACACTTGAGAAAATGCCTGAGATAAACAAACTTATAGGGAGGAAAGGTTTATTTTGGCTCATGATTTCAGAGGTTTCAGTCCATGGTCAGTAGGCCTTGGTGCTTCAGGCCAGTGATGAGGTTATACCTCCTGGTGGGAGCATGAAGAGAAAGAAACTTCACCTTGAGGTAGCAGGGAGGTAAAGAAAGAGAGGTGGGGGCTGGGTTCCCCATACTCCCCCAAGGTCCTATCCCCATGATCTAACTTCCTTCCATCCACTAAGCTCCACCTCCTGAAGGTCCCACCACCTCCCAGTAGCACCCCAGGCTGATGACCAAGCCTTCAACACAGGGTCTCTGGGTGACATTTCAGATCTGAACTCGAGCACTGGTTTACCCATTTTGGTTGAAATGACAGTGTGGGTCTCACAAAGATCCAGACTGGAGATGTGGCCTCGGGAGCCATGAGTACAAGTTGTTGCCATACGTTAGGCTGGACCCCTCTAGGGGAGCAGGTTTTTGAATGGAGGATGGCATTGGGCTCTCCTGGCAGATACTGCCAGCTTCTCTCTTTAAGCTCTTTCCAGACTCTGAGATTCTGGTTACCCTAATTTTGCTTTCAAGAAAGCCAGTAATAAATAGTGGGTGCCTACTGGGAAAGCCAGAGGCCCTGAGAGTATACAATCAGGGTCTCTGTCCTAATTCTACTTTTCTTCTTGTGGTTGATACATAAAAATTGTACAAAAATGTGGAATACTGGGGCATTTCAATGCATGTGGACATTGTGTAATGCTCAAATCATGGCAAGCATATCTATCTCTTCAAATATTATTGTCACTATCTATAGTCACCTAACTCTGCAATGGAACACCAGAACCTATATCTCTTATCTAACTATAAATTGGTACCAGTTGACTAATCTTCCTCTCCCCCTCCCCTCCCCATTTTATTATTGAGAAGGAAAACAACCACTCCAATATTCAATTCGAAATTAGCAAATTAATTAATCAAAACCTGTTATATTGTGATACAAACTCAACATCTCGTAAGTGGTGAATGATTGCAGCAGGATGTGAAATGGATGTGATTAATCAGATGTTTATTTATAAGGGTCTGTAAGACACTAAAGACAAAGCGGGCTGTGGCATTGCTCATTTTTTTGGCTTTGGTTTAAGAATTTGACATTCGGAGTTCAAGATACAGGAAATGCCACGATGGCATCAGCATAAAGTAAGATGGAATTCTTCCCACATTTCATTCAAATTTTCAATTGTTGCATCATGTTCAAAGACAATGTTTCAAATTCTCATAAATTTTTCATTGTGAGCTGCATTTTAACTAGAGGCAACCAGTAAATTAAAACTTGGCCGGCTGCTTCAAGTCCTAAGAGATTAAAATAAAAATCTTGGCAAACAGTTTTGTACTTGCTTACAAGTGTGCTTATTCATATTTCTTTTATTTCACACAAATAAATATTCCTCTAGGGGAAAATTAACTGTAAACCAAATTTTTGAAATATTTGAAGTTTCAACATTTGTTTTATTCATGAGTAATAGAAAAACTTGATATCTGGAATGTACATTATGGGGTAAACTTATCTGCCCAGGAATTTCTCAATCCAGTTGACTTTCTCCTGTCTTTCCTGAAGCATTCTGCATACTAGATTCAAAATAGCTGTGAGGATTGTGCAGAGTTTGCTCTATTTTCACAGTGTATGCTGACATGTGCACCCCCCTTATTTGGTAGTGGTGGACATATGTGCATCTGCTGCTCTGATGGAGTTGGTCATGTGTCTTGCTTCAACTACAGACTGTGAGAGGGTTGTGTACTGTTCCAGGCAGCTTCCAAAGGCAGTGTGCCAGTTTTTGTCCCTCTTTTTTCCACCATAGTGACTGGGAAGGCCAGTATAGATGTTGGAGTCCAGGGAGGGGATACTGCCTGGAATTCTGAGCCTCATGTGGAGGTCTGCTGCTGTGAGAGCCAGATCTTCCCATCACACCCTTTGCCTGAGCAAGAAACAATCTTTGCTTTGTTATAAACTGAAGCTTTGCCATTAATTATGACAGCATAACCTACAGTTCTTGATTCATACACATACCAGAGTAGCTAAGCATGTAGCTCTGAAGTCAGATTACCTGGGTTTAAAATCTGACCCTGCCACCAACCAGTACTGTGGCCTTTGTCTCTGTGCCCCAGTTTTATTATCTGAACAATGGATATTTTACTAGTGCCCCATTAGTTACCTCATAGATCTGCTTTGAGGATTGAATGAGTTAACACATGTACAGCTCTTAGAAAAGTGACCGTACACTTTTATCTTCCAATAAATCTTTCTAATATTTTAATTCCTAGATAGTGCTTTTCTGTCTTTCTCTAAAATAATACAAATTAAAATCTGTCTTAGATACACTAAGAGGTTCAGAGTGGAGATAGAAAGATAACCTGAAGAATAAGCTCATAAGTTATTAAACTTTTCTAATTTGATTAGACCAACATTATCAGATAACATTCTCCAAGTTTCGAACATGAATTTTCATTATAAAACTCAATCAAATTATCATTTGCAAACTATCAGTTTCATATAGGAATTGAAGTGTGGACATTCATATATATAAGAAAAAATTAATAATAGTACAGCACATAAGTTCAAGGATTCAAATAAAACCTTATCATCCCTAGGTACTTAAATAGCCTTTGATAAAATCCTACACCACTTTAAATAATCACACGGTTTTGCATAAAAATTTTATTAATGTCTGTTTCCCTAATTAAACTTTTTTTCATGAGAATACATGCATATAATTGTACACCCAACACCAAGAGCATCATCAGGCACATGAGAGGCAATCAGCGATATGCACTGACTGAATCAAATGAAAAAACATGGCTACTTACTATGCTTAGTGGTAAACAAGGGCAGATGTTTCACTTCATACTATACTTAAAAAGTCAAATGAATTTTTTAAAACTTATAAAGGAGAATAGATATCAAAATCCTAGGGGCAATTTATACATATAGAAAAACTTAGAGATCTTTTGCTATAATTAGAAATTAAACTCCCTCAACATTCAACCTATTACAGAGGGTCCTATCCAAGGTAGGACAATAAAAGTGCTGATAAAAGCAATTATTGAAAGAGAAGAAATTAGGGAGAGAAATACAAAAAAAGGTACCAAGAGAAAGAAATTATTTGTGGATTGTAAGATATTTGTATAGAAAAAAATAAAGAGAACCTAATATTTAGAATTTGTGCAGAAGATTCTGAAGTTATTTGATAAAAGATGAATGTCTAAAATCAATAATAATCCACACATAAGTAATAACTAATTAGAAAATACAGTAAAAAGATGCCACTTACCATAGCTATAAAATCTATAGAGGACATATGATTAAGTATAAGATGGGAAGCTCTTTAATAAAGAAATTTTTGTACGGAATGCAAAATAAGACCTGGTCTCGTTTTTTCTACTAATGGGTAAAATGTTTTCTGAGCACCACTTAAAAAGCTGCCTTTTCTTCAATGTAAGTTTGGGGCACTTTTGTCAAGGATCAGATGACTATCTGAGTGAGTTTGTCTCTGAGTCTTCTACTCTGTACCATTGGTCTATTTGTCTATTTCTGTGCCAGTACCATGCAGCTTTTGTTACTATAATTTGGTCAGCATTGCTCTTTTAGCTTA